GTTTAAGTTGACCTTTTAAACTAATTTTTTATTAAAGAATTTATTTATTTAATGTGTTCAGGAACTGCTGATACCTTGGTCATAAATCATAATTTAGTCTGGCAACCTAAATGCTGAAAACATGGAGTTAAAAACGTGAATATCTAATACACCGAGGCGGTCATTCGAGTGGTTCATGAGAGTCATGGGGCTACTTGAGATGATTTGATTAACAAAATAAAAAGTAGAAGAAAGTCGCAGACCTATTCCTTGGACCGTAAACATGGGCAGATGGCATAAGGACAGGGAAATGGATTACTCAATGAAGGTATTTATTTAAAATTAATACATCGCGGGCACGTCTTCTAGAACTCATTTTCTCTAGTTCTCACGTGCGAACATGTCCTGCAGAATATGTTCCCAAGTGATTGCAAGACGTTTCATTGGGTGACATATATTATGTGGAAGTTTTCTTTAATGCACACTCACCAGCGCGAAAACGAGCGCAAAATATTGCATTTTCCAGAAATCTAGTGATGCCTGTAAGTGGCATCATGCCACTGAAAAGCACGGAATATTTCACATGTGGGTATTGGTATCGCCTTTCTTTCTCGTTTTTTGAGTCTATTTTGAATTTACAGGTGCTAAACGCCATTACAAGAAAAGATAAAATCTTGGTATTGAAAAAATAAAAGGTGTACTTTTTTAGGGCGGAACTCCAAAAGATATGTGTATGTATGCCCCCTCCGATAAGATATATGTTAAAAGAAGGGTGTAAAGCGAAGTTTGGTGACATTTTATTAGGGGAAATAGGAAGAAAGAAAAGTATGAATAAAATTTTAGATATTCTATGGGTCTTAGAGTTACGACTATCGATGATCATCACACAACCCGCATCCTTAAATTTTTAAGTTTATCTGAAGAAGTAGTAGGATGCAGAAATAAATACGGTCCCATGCTACGATCGCTTCTACTAAAAGGTGCGGCAGACGAATATCTCTATCACGTGTACAAATTCGTGCCGAGATGCCCATCATCTGACGCCCAATTGCTAGCATGAAGGTGCGACTTACATAAACAATTTTTTTTTTTTAGAAAATCGCTGCCGGTTGGTCATTACTAAGTACTAGAGATTTTCAAGAGTGCGTTTCGGTGTCTACAGAATATTTGGATACTAAAAATATGATATTACTTTAAGTTATGGTTGGCAACTAATCAATAAAATTTGTCTTCTGTAAATGTTTTAAGCTGAACATGCGAAACCAAAAATCGACCCGGTTTTTGCACAAGCTTAAATCACTAACATATATGCAAATTAAAAATGATTGAGTGTTTATTACGTTATTACGTTTTTTTTTCGTGTTGGGTTCTTTGGGTCATGTTACGGCACTGTTACCGGGAAAATGGCTATCACATTCCCCCTGATGATTCTATATGTTATGTATAATACGAGAAACATTCCGCCGCTTTGTGGAACTCTCTACGGCGCCACTCGGACGATCACGTAGTGCCGCCATCCCGCCGCCGCGGCATCCGGAGATTGGGTTACCCGAGCCGCCCGCAACGCGAGCAGGCTTGGCCGTACGAAGATCTTGGAAGATCGTGGAATCTTGGACCGCTTTTGATGCACTTAAGGGCTTGATTCAATCATCCACTGTGCTTGCTCATTACGATGAGAGGAAGCCTCTTCTCTTGTCTGTCGACGCGTCACCGTACGGTGTCGGTGCCGTGCTCACCCAAAAAGCTGAACTCGGCAGAGAGGCCCCTATAGCTTTCGCGTCGCGAACACTGGGAGCCGCGGAAAAGAATTACTCCCAGCTCGACAAGGAAGGCTTGGCAGTAGATTACGGTGTCAGTCGTTTTCACCAGTACATCGCAGGCAGACACGTGACAGTTTTAACAGATCACCAACCTCTACTTGGCATCTTGGGAAAAAAAAAGCAAGTGCCCCAAGTCCTATCACCTAGGATGACACGATGGTGCCACAAGCTTGCCACTTACGACTACAATTTAGTCTAAAGACCGGGGAGACTTCATCAAAACGCTGATGCACTCAGCAGGTTGCCGCTTCCGGCACAAGCCGACGAGCCCTGTCCCCCGGCGGACGTACTTATGTTAGCGTCACCTCCAAGTGTCGAACTATCGCCACGTAAACTCGCTCAAATGACCCAACAGGATCCACTCTTGTCTCGAGTGCTGACAGCTATTTCAAGTGGAGAACTGCATAAACTGTCATAGAAACAGTTTTCACCGTACTGCAGACTCGGCACAGAACTTTCAGCGCAACAAGGTTGCCTCCTGAGAGGTTCCAGAGTGGTCATTCCCACAAAGGCGAGGAAAGATGTGCTTGACTTGGCGCATGCAGGTCATAGGGGTGTAGTAGCTATGAAGGCATGCGCATGAGGTTACTTTTGGTGGCCAGGTCTTGACAGCGACATTGAAAGACTGTCAAGAAGCTGCGAAACTTGTCGATGACACCAGAAGGCACCACCCAAGGCACCAATCCCCGAATGGACGCGCGCGACGACGCCTTGGCAGACCATTCATGCGGACTTCGCCGGCCCCGTGGAGAGGAAGATGCTGCTGATTGTTGTCGACGCGTACAGCAAGTGGCTAGAAGTACGCTGCATGCGCAACATACAGTCAATCACGCTGATTGAGGAATTGCGGGAACTCTTCGCAACGTTTGGAGTCCCCAAAAAGATGGTAACGGACAATGAACCATCCTTTCTTTCGTCCGAGGTGGAAGACTTCCTAAAGAAAAATGGTGTGACTCATATAACAAGTGCGCCTTACCATTCCGCCACAAACGAACAGGCGGAAAGAATGGTCCTCGAGACGAAGCAGGCGTTGGCAAAAAGTCAAAACGAAACAGCAACATTCGCGTGCAGACTGGCAAGGTTCTTGCTAAAACAGCACACAACCGTTTGTACAACAACTGGAAAAACACCAGCGGCGCTCATGTTCAGCCGCGAACTTTCTACAGCGCTCACACGCCTACAGCCCCGCGTGCCGGAAGAGCCGGCATCGGAATGCCGCAGAGAAAAATCACCTAGAGAAGTTACAGTAGGACAATTCGTCTGCGTCCGCAACTTCGTTGGAAACCCTACTTGGATTAAAGGAACCGTTATGAAGAACTGGGGCACCGCTCTTGGCTGGTGAAGTGCGAGAATGGAACGGTTCGTCGACACCTGGATCACATTAAACCCGGTGCACAGGAGAATAAGACAACGAGCCCAACATCACGCAATTACAGCAAGGAACCGGTGACTAGCCATGTTCCGGCTCCATATGTTCTACAGCCGGACTTCCCAGCATCGTCCGAATCCAATCGACCTCCAGCGCCCGAGTCCCAAGATGGAGCTGGTGCGCAATCTGACCCGTGCGGCACGGTACCTGCCGACCAGCGGAAGAGCGAGTCAGCGCCAGTTTCCACTGCGATGCCAAGACCCCAGCGCGAACGGCGTCCCCCGGACCGCTACGGATGCTCAATCTGAGGAGGAAGGGATGTTATGTATAATACGAGCAACATTCCGCCGCTTTATGGAACTCTCTACGAGCAACATTCCGCCGCTTTGTGGAACACTACGGCGCCACTCGGGTGATCACGTAGTGCCGCCATCCCGCCGCTGCGGCATCCGGAGATCGGGTTAGCCGAGCCGCCCGCAACGCGAGCAGGCTGGGCCGTACGAAGATCGTGGAAATAAAAGCAGTTCGTACTCAGCCAGCGACTGAAGTGGTCTCCGTCGATATACGGGCCGAGACGCCCCAAACATAACACTATAATTACTACAAATATATGTATAAGCAGACCTAACTTTTGCGCGTATAGCATAAAAATTAATTAAATTTTATATTTGCTGCATTCAGAATGTCAAACACCAGCTTTCACTAATAAACTCGTGTCTTATGCTCAACATCAGCATTTTTCCACAGGCATAAATCCTGTTTTCATTTAAATATATATGGCTCTCGACACGGCTTGGACCATAGAAAGTCTGTTAAAAATCAGGGATATTAAATAAGTAGTAAAGTAGGAAGTTAACTCTGTCATTGTTTTGTGCACTGAGCATTTGCTACGTTTAGCTCTGTTGTAGAAGATAACTGATCGATTAGGTAACGGTGATGCAGTGTTAGTAATTGGAGCCTTTATAGCACACTTGAAATAAGTAAGCTCTAAACTCACCTAGGCTTAACGCTGCTGTCAATACTCTGCGTCAATAGTGCGTTTTTTTGACAGAACACAAATCACACAGTACAAAAATTACTAATTACATGGCAGGGCACTTAATCGATGAATCGGTTGATTCATCGTTCAAGTGCCGAGCATTATTAATGGGTCATTTTAAACCTATTGATTTTTAATTCCTTCAATTAACCTACCGATTAATCGGCTAATGTCTCAGTCACAAATAATATTGTCAAAGGGGTTAATTGGTTAAACTTAAAAAAAAATAAAACTAAAAATTCAAAGGTTTCACCTCTCAGTCATGAACGAGTACACTTGCATTGAGGCAACCTTTAGTGAAATTTCGACTTAAAGTAAACTAAAGGTGTGAGATTTGTAGCTTCAAACATGTTGATAATGTTATATGTTTTCTAGACACTTTAACGCCGTGCAAGTGTCCGTTTAGCGCGGCAGAGACTGTGAACAATCAAAGGAGTTCGGTATTGCCTGAGATTATCACGGAACTTATTTGCATTCACGGCTGATGCAATAATTTTTGAATTTAGGTGTTTTATGACTTCTCAACTACACGTCAAGGTTTATTTAATCTACGAAATTGTACATTCTGCCGTTCCTCATGTATTCATCAGAGGCAAAAAATTAAATTTTTACTTTTTAAGAACTATTGTACCTTGGAATGAACGAAACCAATTAATCGATTAATTCATCGATGAAAGGGTGGTGATTAATTGACATATAATTTGTAATCGACACCAAACCTACAAATTATTGTGTATTTAAACGCGCTCTCGTAATTCGTATGTTTGTTTAAAAAATGTGTTAAAGCACTTACCAAGGATGAAAATCGGGACCGCAGAGGTGACCGTGCTGGGGTTGCTCATCGTAAACTTCAAAAGTGTTTGGGGTACGTGATGCCGCTACTATGAAGATTGCAGTTGTGTACTATCCCATTCTAGGACTGAAAATGTCTTAAAGAAGATAGGTTGTCTGAGCTAGCTTGGCATCGGGTTTCAAGGATAAGCTCAAGTTTCTGTCTGCCTACATGAGGTCACTAGATGCGAAGGAAAGCGTGGAGCGTGGCTGGTAGCACTGTGACCGACCAAGGTTATATACTCCAAAATATTTGCGCTGGGAGTCTTCTCTTCGGAGCGTACTAAGTATTGTCTTTTATAAATGAACCATGCAGACAAGGAGTTTTTCAACAACTAGTTTGGTTGTTTCTTTCGGACAGCCATGGGCAAGACCTCGACAGACACCAAGATTACCAGCTCTTTTTTTATGTTTTACAAAAAGTGAGAAATAGAATATATTATAGATTATAAGAAGTCGCACTTTTTTCTAATCTTTTTGTTCCTTAATATACCTCTTTGTCCGAAGTGTTAGGTATCTGCTTTGATTTTGCCAGCTACACACTTATTTGTCATACCGTCAGCGCACCCAGTTTTCTGTTTCTTCCCCCTCAGTGTCGGTATATCGAAATAAGAGCTCTGCACCTCAGCCTTTTTTGTTTGAAATCTTATATTTATTTCATTAGGGACTCTGTGTCCAGGTACATTTTTTATGTTAATGTATTTGATTTTTTGACATATGGTCATTTAAAGGGCAACTCCGCTCAATTTCGTAAATTTCGAGATAGTGATCGATTTTGCTTTAAGAAGCACTCAAAGACAATCCCCAATCCTTTGGTTCCGCAAAAAGATAAAATATTTTTCGTGCAATTTTACTTTAGCCATGATCGCAAACCGAAACCGAAACGGTGGCAACGCCGGGCAACATTGTATCTTCGGCATCACTGACCATGTACACCCACGTGATATACAAGGGGTCACGTGACCTATCACGCGGACATCCGCTTCGCAGTCATTGTCGCGTCGTCTGCAAAGCACGTGCCACCGCTACATCGTTTTGTCCGACAGATTTCGTGGGAAAAACACACGAAAAGGTAAGTTTCCCCGAAGGCCTAATTTGTAGGAATTCGTGGAAGGCAAACTCCAGGAAAGCGCACGTAAATACGCTTTGCTGAGTCTGAGGTTCAGACGTGTCTTGCTTTCAGTATTTTGTCGCCGGCAATTTCTGCTAAAACTTAGATTGTGTGTAGTTAAATTATTGTTTCAGTGCGTTTAATGTACGCGTATAGGACTGTCCCCCTTTGTTGGTAAAAATGGCTCTTCTCGTCAACAGCTCAGATGGTAAACCTTTCCACTCATAATTTGACAGTTTCAGCAAGACGCGAGTAAACGCCGACGCCGTGTTAGCGCTAACCGCTCATTCACACTGGAAGCGGATCCGCGTTCGCAAAGCGGTTGCGAACGCGGTTGTATAAAGATCCAGTACAATTGCACGCGCACTTGATGTCATCGAGTGCGCGTGCAATTATACTGGATCTTTATACAACCGCGTGCGCAACCGCTTTGCGAACGCGGATCCGCTTCGAGTGTGAATGAGCGTGTGAACGCTGCGTGAAGGGTATGACCTCTCGAAAGCTCACGATCGCACATTATGCTGCGTTTTACTGAAATTCCCTTCTTGCATCAATCGCACAACACGTACTTATGCCAAAGCGATGTGCTCGAGTCAAACAGCAAAGCCATACACAGGCGGCGGCAACTCGTTTCGGTGGTTTTTGCGAAACGGAAACGATAGAGCCACCCCTCTGTATCTCCAATGCCAGAAAAAATATCGCGTGTAAATCTTACAAAACGTGTGCATACGTACTGCAGGGTACAAACAAACAAATTTGCGTTCACTTTTCTGTGGCCAGTGGGCCGTTCACACTCTTGCGTCCGAGTAAGACTGAGAGAGACCAGACCGGTTTTTAAGCCTTTTGTGACTTAGGACCGGATGCGATGCAGCGGAGCTGGTCCTAAGAGGTCGCAAGATTCTTAAAAACCTGTCTTGTCTCTTTCGGTCGTACTCGGTTGCAAGAGTGTGAACGGGCCTAGAGAGTGAAGTATTATTAGCATAAGCCGACCGTGGTTAGTGACATTATGTAAGTTACCAAGTAATATTACTTTCTTTATATGGAGTCGCTGTATGACATAATCAGTTTGAGATCAATTGTATTATTGGCTCCCTCAAGCAGGAATGCAGAATTACAACACATACGCTCAGGCATATTAAAAGTTTTGACTTTAAAATCGCCAGCAAAGATCAGGAACTCTCATATAATTGAAACTTACCTTGAATACGTCTTTTACTGGTCAGATTTGGACATTAAAATTTTAGGTCTCAATTCCAAGTACAAAGAAAATGCCCCGATTGGGTTATTTTTTCATTTCTTTCGTACTAGAGGCTGGAGTTTCAACCGGGAATTTCAAGTCAATATCTCCATCGCAGATTTTTGGCGGGTAACTTTATTTTGAGACGCTAAAAAATAAGTGGCCCAACGTATAAAGTTGGAACTTACCTCGAATACACAATTTACTAGTCCCATTTAAACAATAAAGTTTACATCTTAGCAGGCGTGTGTTCCTCTTCAGTGGGCCTCTATGGGTGTTTTTTTAGAATCTGACAATTAATCCATACGCTTACTTTCAGCACAAATGTCAGACGACGACAGCCTACCCCGCGAGGCAGACTTTGGAGGTTTGCTGCAAGGGGCAATGCATGTCCCCGATCCGTACCGGTTTGACCCTCCACTACCAGCGAGGGAACGACGTGACAGAGATCACATCCCCGTGTCACAAGTCAGGTAAATTATTTGATCAGTCCACGCATGCCTTGTTTCAATCAGTATATATGTACTTCCTCTGATTGCCAGAAAACAACCAAAAGTATCTACAAAATCATTTTTATTTCAGTTATCGGTTCAGAATTTCACATCCACTAGAATTGGTTCATGATAGATGTAACACAGCAAACTAAGAAAACCCACAATTATAGGAATGAAACAACACTTGATGGTTGCGGCAGCTGCAGTGAAACTTTGCGGATAAAATACAATTCTTTCGTGGTTTACACTCTTCCAGGTGCACCTGTAAAAGCTGCCCCCAGGAAGAGGGGCACTGTTGCCGTGTCATTCCGAGGGTAGCCGGAAAGATTGTGGGGAAATGTATCACAGACGGCGCACTCTTCGGACTCGTGTGTTTGGACGAGAGGCTGCTCAATATAGCCTATAAGCAGCTCTCGTCTTATGAGCCAATTTATTTCGAGCCAGCAGCTAGGGACCAGAACAAGTAAGACCAGTTCTTCGATAACAGTTATGTTTTAATGCACTGCTTGCCTGTGAAATCAATTCTTGGGTAGTATATATTGCAAAAGATAGATTCCCCCCTTGATAAATCTGTTTTAGTACAAAAACACTACAGATCATAAATAAGAAAATCATTGGGTTCTGCCATCTATTATGTTCATGTTCGCCATGTATAGCGAACACAACCTATTGAGCTAAGGCAACCGCGGGTGTACCGAAGACGCTGGCGGGGGAGAGCGAGCCAGGGAGAAGCACCACACGCCTGGAAAAGAACAGACTGGGCATGGTCTGCGACCATTCCCAGTCTGTTTTTTTTCCTAGCGTGCAGGGCTTGATTGTAACCTAACAGTTAAATAACTATATCCTGCACTGTCCCAAATTAACCGGTACATCAATCACAGTGGCGACGAGGATGAGATCCATGCAACAAAGACGGATGTAAACAACTGAGCGACAAAGGAGACAGCGGTAACGTGAGTGATTTTCGATCTCAAACCTAAAAAATCCCTCGCATCGGGAAAATTGAAGAATTTGATTATAAATCGCGATTATGGTCTGCGTACGGGATGCGGTCCATTCGTCACATGCACACTCGTCACAGGACGATTCGTCACACCGGAACATTCGTCATATAGGATGACTCGCCACGTGGCCAACCGGTCCAATAATAGTTCGTCCCCCAAAAAATGCATTGTTCAATTTCGTTTGGGCGGACAAAGCGGCTCACTTCCTATCTTAGTATGTCTTTGGCTTCTGAATGGCGAAGAATTTGTAAAAGACGTTTTAACTTCTGGGTTCGTCCCGAACGGTGAATGCGGAGGCTTATAAGAGTGACTATTTTTGAACTCGGACTACATTAAAAAAGATGGAGGTGATCGCAACAGAGAGAGGTAGAGCCATGATGCTGCACGAGGGTTACTCGTACACATTCAGCAGAACGAATTCCGATACGTATTGGTTTTGTCGAATAGGTGTATGCAAGGCAAAAGTAAAAACTGATTTGGCTGCCAGTCGGATTATTGCTCGTTCAAGCCAGCAACTGAGGTCAACTTGCTGAAGGCTCGTAATATAATGCAAGAAAAAGCGGATGAGTATTGTGCGATTAGTTTTTTTATTCATTGGTTTATGTGACAGTGGGAAGTCGTGAAACTCCTCATCCGGGAATGGGGGCAGTTGTTGAAATTTACTATAGTCCCCTGCCGGATCAATGTGACCAGTTGCCCGCAGTACGAGTCATCCTGTGACTAATATTTCTATCTGACGAATCGTCCTGTGACGATTGCGCATGTGATCGTTCGACTAGTGTAGAACCATATCGGTCTGATTGCCCAATCAAATGGTTGAATGCTACAAATTCAATCACTGGAAGTAGTTGGAATCCGAAACCGTCGCAGACTACGTAGCTGCACTGAAACAGCTTTCGCTGCAATGCAACTTTGGTATTTCCCTCCACGCCCGACTTAGAGGCAAGCTCATTATCGGCATCAAGGACGAAAACATCCTCGAAAAACTGCTGGTTGAACTGATGTCAACATTCAAGGCAGCAGCGCATCTTGCCACTTCGATGGAGGCAGCCATGAAGGATGCAAAGGAAATAAGGAGCGAGACCCGAGACCCAACAAGATATCAATCGCTTGGTGCAAGGGTGAAAATACAAGACGTCATTTCCGAAAAAA